TTATTTATTAATTTTATTTGATATTAATAGTTGATATAGGTATTAGTTATTTTTAGCCATTAGTTACTTTAAATGTATACTAAGCGTGTTACATCAGTAGGTAGCGTACTTACGGGGAGGGTCCAAGGTGTCAGGACCAAAAAAAATTCCTATGTTCTAACTTTGTTTCACTATCTGATTAATGAATAATGAGGCTTAAATAAAATATAGTATTTATAATAATTTAATAAATAAAAATATAGGTAATTTAAAATGTTCAACAAATCTCGATGATGACGCATCCCAATTCGTAATTTCCGTTCTAATTAAACAAGTTCGCAATGAAGAAAATTATTTTTTTTTACAAGAATTAGAGTTAATACGGTTTTTATTTTACGATGTAATGTGATATATAGTAGGTATATCTATTAATTAATATTTATAATACTAGTATATATCTATTGGAATAGATATATAGATAAATAGATAGTTGGTCGGTCGGGACACGTACTACAGAGTGAAGAGTGCAGACAACAACGATACAAAGAATCGCTCCCTAGGGAATTGGTGGTATGGGATGTATTCAGTTAAGTTAAAAATTGTAAAAATATGAAGGGGTTATGGAATATTATTATATTAATGATGATAAGTAGAGCGGTTTAATTGAGGTTAGCCCATATTATACTGCAGCATAATATGCTAACATATTATGTCTAACCCAACCTGCAGCTGTAATGTCGCAAAAGTCCTGTACCTATTTTTAATGTTCAAGCTTATAATCTCTGTTACAGGCACGTACACATAATAAAAGTACGGGGGGGGGGTCCTAACCTAACCACTGTATGTATACGCGCTTGATCTCTGTAGTATTAATTTAATATGTATATTATTCATTATTTATTATTAAAGGTTTCTTAACAGTACCTAAGTACTAATTTAAGGAAATTCCATTTTAATGCCATAAATTTAAAAATAAATATTTTTGTGGTGCAATCTTTGAAAGCCATTTTCCAATCTTAATTTATTTGTAATATGTAATCAACGTATTTAAAGAATTTAATTAATTAGTTAAATATATATTTAAAATTTAATTTCTTACTAACAAATTATTTTAGTATTATTATGATAGTCTTTATAAATACATATAACTACAGGTTTTCAACTTGGCCTAATTTTAAATCGTACTAACAAATCTACTCATTACTTATGCCTCTTGAGGTTTAATTAAACGAATGCGATCAGTTTTTTTTCTAATAATGTTATTCTCGTAATTATAAAAAACTTAGTAATATTTGTAAATGCTAACTCAATTATCTACAATCATTTTTTAATTATATGGAAAATAAGATTAAAAATATCCATTTCTAAAAAAAAAAAAATAATTTCCACAAATATAATATATTTTTTAAAAACCGCTACCTATTAAATTTCATTATTTTAATAAATAACTGTTGAAAATCTGTAATAAGATATATTGATTTTCCTCGGAGATACCAGAATTCTCAACTTTCAGGACGCATTACATAATATGATTCGATGTATTATTAATTATTATATTACCTATAATAAACTTTATTTTAAAATACATGTAGTGATTTTGACTCGAAGTATAGCATCGAGTAGGTATGTATATGAATGTTATCATTCATCAGTATCATATTGTTATTATTCTACGATGTCGTTGATGACATATGGACTGAGATAAGGTTGGTGAATATAATATGGAAGAAGGCCAAATCAAACGCACGTGGCTTACTGTGCACAATATGTATATTATATACTTCTAAACAATGTCGTCGTAGTTGATGTTTTTGGATCGGGACGTCGTAGGGTCGCCACCGTCGCACTTCTCCCGCTAATGTGCTTTCATTGATCCGGCCTAGTTCATATTTGCCCCTTTGATTTCCTAAGAACTTTTTATGATTCACCACTATCGTAACCTATATAAGCCACAGGGTTCTTCGTTTTATTTTATTTTTAGATGATGTATAAATCAACGTATTTTTAACGACAGCGTATCCATCAGGTGGCGATTGTCTACCCCCGTATTGGCTGTATTATTTTTACATATAATAATCAGCATAAAGCTGTTGAAAATTATTTGCCGTAGTGTTGATCTCTTTAATTTGTTTGATATTAATAATATTGATGTTATAACTGTTGTTGGTTTTGATCCTCCCCCCATTCCAAACAAACCATTCCAAAACTCTGGTTACGTAACTGTTTTGCGATCATATATGTACTGGTAAATATTGTTTGGTTTATAATTTTTGTAACTGCGGATATTCAGTAATCAGCATTGAATCTTTGTTCTGAATGTATTTGCCTTAAGTCAAATAAAAATTGTACGTATTTTAACGCATGACGCTTGTTTTTCCATGTCAGGGGCAACTGCGTAGTAGTATCTATTAAAACGAAATAAAACGTGGGACTGAAATAAATCTAAAAAAAAAAAAAAAAGACCGTATACAATTCGTATTGATTATAACCTTAAAGATAAAAATAAAAATATAGCAAAGCAGTGTACTTCCTGTATTGCAAGTCGTAACTGTTTGTTCAATTAAAAACTAGCACCGGACTTGTGAGTTCATCGTTTTCGAATTACTAGGTTTTTATATTATTTAGTATACTTAATAGTTTCTAGTTCATGGCACATAAACTATCATTGACACCTCTGCATTGTTCTCTGTTGTTTATAAATTTTTACATCTTAATAAAATATTATTTTTAATCATAATTTTTGTACGCCCGTACCACGTGAACAGTGCCCATACAGTATAATGATATAGTTACCTATATACTAAAATTAAATATGTGCATTAAAAGCGGTTTAACGATCAATAAGTTTTATTCGATTTTAATTTATTTAAATTAACTAAATATTCAACGTTGTAAATTTTTTGTTAAAATATCTCCCTTTATTGTATATTTAACTTGTTCCTTTCAAACTTGGTATTTCTCGATTTATGAAAATCTAGTAGATACATATATACTTAGGTAGCTTCCACTAATTACCTACTTTACTCGACTCCTAAATTAGTTATATAATATAAAATTAATATTTAAAGATCTATATAGTCACTATACAAGTTACTCCTACTTTAAAATTTAAAAATATATTTATTATTTATAAATATAAGAATGTAGATGAGTGGGTGGTGGGTATACGATTCTGCTATACAGTAGTTGTTGAGCATGTTGTTGAATTGGATGTGTTATATTTGAATTGCATTTTAAATAATTGCATATTAAAAACGATTCTGGATGGAGGCGTTGTATCATCTTAGCATACAAGCATAACAATTTTAAAAAATAATTAAAAATATCTCGTATGTAAGTACGAAAAGAAAATTTTTTATGAATTTCTAACTGAAATTTGAACGCGTTTTGTCAATAATGAATCTGAAATTAATAATAAACTGCATTTTTCTATTTATTGAAGTCTTTCGGTAACGGAATCATCTAAAAAACGTATAATTTTATTTCGTTAGTTTTTATGTCCATTGTAAAGATGTTTTTCAACTTTATTAGTTGTACCTATCATTATTATAAAGGTATGAGTGTTGCGACAAAGAAAAATCATTGTTTAATGGTTTAATTTAAGTTGTAATAGGTACCTAAAAATTTGTCACTAAAAATTATTTTTCAATAAATTGCACCTACATTTTTTTTCTGGAACTATATGACTTGGTAGGTAGGTACTATAATTAAAACAGTGATGATGATTTTTTTCTATGCATCATCAGAAGAATTTATTATTTTATTTGCAGTTATTTTGCACTGTAAAAGTGTAAACATATATATTTTTTTGGATGCTACTAGTAGACTAGGTATATATCAAATATAATATAGGTATATGTGTCCCATTCGTAAACCATTGATTGTGTATTATTCGTGTACCTATTTCTGTATAATAGGTCAAATTAATTGACCTGTTATATAATCATGTTTTATTTAAAAATTATTGATAGTTTAAAAACTCATCCAGTTTACATCTATGACATATTAGTAGGTATATTACTATATGTTAAACAAAGTGGATTTTATTGGGCTTTGTCCCTCAAAAACTACTTAGCTTATACATAATAAAAGACAAGGAATCTATTAATAGGTTAGTCAATAAAAATAATATTTTACATGCTATACGTTTATATAAATTAAAGGTTGGGAACGGTTTTTTGTTTTTTCTAAGGGTGTTCTTAAAAATGATAATACTGTATTAAAAATTGAAAGTTTTTGTTTTAAACAATGTTTATTATAATAATACTATAGTCATTAAATTCGATTTTTTTTACCTATTGTAGTCAATTATAACTGCTCTTTTTTTATATATTCGTTGATATGTATGAACTTCTACGTTATTCTGTGGTGCTAATTAAAACTGTATTTTTATCAATGAAATGTGTGAACAATTGGCAATGAACGAAATAAGCTTCATACTTATTTTTTAGATTTATAATAAAAAAATTAATTATTTCTATTTGCTAAAAAATAATTGTATTGTGTTTTGATAATTATTGGAAATTTCATGATAGGTCAGTGTGTGTATATATTATACCGTATATTGAACAAAATACCATGATCTATATCTGTATAATTTATGTTTTTATTTATTGAACAGCACGAGCGGACATGACGACCGACATTGGACCAGACTCAACTTGGATCACCGATCCACCAGATGGCATTGCGGTCCGCAGTAAGCCTTACACGTTACAATGTCATTCATCCCTGCCGAATGCTACGTATTTATGGATGTATAATAATCGCACCTTGGATCTAGTCAACGACTCGCACCGTCAGATTCTTCCCAACGGCTCTCTGTTTTTCAAAACCGTAAGTGATCCAACGTTTTTTGTTTGGGAGATTATGGGCTTGAATGCTTGATTTAGCTTCTATTTACGCGTTTTCCTATGGAGGATTTATAAATTTACTAAAATATGAGGTTGTAAACGTTATAAAATAATAAAATAATTTGTAATTATAATTAAATATTTTATATTATATTCCATAATCTATATTCTTTAACCATGTCAATATTAGGATATATAGAACTATATGGCTATATGAGTACAGGATGTTAATGAATCACTCTGTATTTAATTATAGATTAATATATATCCATTACCTATGTAGGAGGTAAGTACTTACTGGTATAAAGGCAGTAGTACACTTGGTCAATTACTTAAAATATATTGTTTAATGATTCATAATAAATAATAATGTATAATATGTAATAGTAATAATTATAACTATGCTATCTGAGTATCTGACGCATAGTACGGAAAATAAATAATATATATATAATATATATATATACAATCATTACAACCCTATCCGCTTTGTATAACTGAACACAATTGGCCACTTCAATTTGTCGATACCACATAAAAGACAAGTCATAACAAACTAACCATGAACATTAAACACTGAATAATATTTAAAAAAATCAATTTGCAAATAAAATATTTTTTTAATTCCTACCAAAAATTTTATTTTTGCTATATTAAAATATTATTATACACATTTTCAACTGCATGGTTAATGTGGTGGAAGGGCATGGACTAAATTTAAAAATTTCAGTTTTGAAATGGTTAAAATTAACTATATACAAGTATAACGTTTTTTAATATGGTCTGTGATATAAGTTATTGTGTTGGGTAATGCATTTCGATAAAACATTAATTGTACATAATTTAATTCCCCCCTTCTAGCATAGATTGTTTATTTTATTATTTTATGCAGATATTATATTATTGTACATTGTTCATATTTAGMTTAATAATTGGAATTCGTTATAAGCCATAAACGAGTTGTCTATGTTTATATATAATATTATAATTTATAGGTGAAGAACAAAAAAGGGGGCGATGCGGGATCCTATAGATGTATAGTACAAACGCCCCTCGGTGCAGTTTCCTCAAAAACAGTTACATTGCTCACTGCAGGTAAATATTTAAATTTTTTTTTTTTTTAATTTATACACGATTGTTTGCTTTTTGCTTCAATTTTATTATGCTCGTTGGCTTAACTCTATCGCGACGTATGTGGCTATATTATGCTATGTATTTAGGTACCTAGATAGTAAGATATTATATAGTATGTCACTATATGGTATTATGTGTTATGCTATTACTACACAAGCCCCCCTCCCTCATCAAATTTTGTTTCTATATAGTCTATACTAAATATTATTGTGGGCGGTGGGCCCTATAATAATATACATCAGGCCCGGATCCAAGGGTTGATGCCCTCTCCCTTCGTAGACTCTAGCTAATTCTAAAATGTCTGTTTTCAACGGCCTGATAAAATACATTGTAAACAAACCTAACCGATTGCGAAATTGTATCCAAGATGCCTCCTCTCACCGTAAATCTATTGTAGATCCGCGTCTGATATACATATATATATATATTTATAATAAATATTCCTATCATAATTTAAAAATTTAAAAAATCACAAATTTATTTTAACGGACCCTTAAATAAGCCGAGACACTGAACTCCAGTCCAAACCCATGAGGTGGTGTTGTTACTATGTGCTATTTAATGTAGTACTAAATAGTACGATATTGGATGATTTTTAAATTTTGATTTAATTTATTACTGTACGTGGAAATACATTTTGAAATTTTGATTGCATAGGTTTCATTATTATTATTGAATTCTTGGTAGTTGAAGCGCATGTGCAGCGCTGCTGAACAAAGCAATTCTTGGAATGCGACAAGAAAATTCGAATTTAATTTTCCTCGCTGTTTTACGTGACTCGTAATAATACGATGTTGGTGATTGACGCATTATGTATGTTTCCAATTATTTTTCACGTTCAACTTGCGGACTCTCAGTGCTAAATATTTAGTCACGTAAAAATATAATTCAATAAATTCCCATTTTCGACAAATAACAATTTTTCTTAGTCTCGCTTGATTATTTTAATGTACGTGACACGGTGACAGTTTGTATATGAGTAGGAACGTGTATTATAATGAGACGTATGCTGTTTTGCGGTATATGGCTGTTCTAATTGAATTCTAATTACAGATTAATGTAATGGACTATGCATTTGTTTATAATTACCGTTTATGGAATTTTCTGAATTCTTAACGTTTTTTATTCTTATTTAATATTTTTTACGAGTGTAAGGTGTTCTGAATTTTTTTAACCCATTGACACACTATTGAGTTAAAAAAACGACAGTGATAAATAATAATCTGCAATGTCCGATGGAATATATTGTTTTTGTTTTATAAAAATATAAACTACATTACAATTTACACACCTATTATTTCTTTTATTGCACAAATTACATGAGGAATAATCTAAAATATTTTGGAAATGTTGTGTCAAGTCTTTATGGTCCAAACTCTAGAATTTATTTTTTATTTATAATATAAAACGAGTTTACATGTCAATTTATCTGTTTGAATAAGAATGTTATAAATATAAGATAATTTATCTATAATTTTTATTAGTAACTATAAATGAATCTATTTACCATCGTAAAAATATGATATACTACAATATAATTTAATATATCACCTTATTTAAATAATTAATATGTTTTTTCAGTTATTTATGACTTTGATGTACAACCTTCCAATGTAACAGTTAGTTCAGAAGCTAGTCGTTCTGTTATTCGATTTAACTGCCATGTGAATTCTGTTCCTTTAGCTACTATAACGTGGCAAAAAAATGGAGTTGTCTTKTCCAGTAACAATAAAAAGTAAGAAATAATGATATTAATAAATTGACTTTTATTCTTAAATGTATTTGTTTCCATAGGTTTGTAACTAAAGTTCCTGGTGTACTATATATTAAACAAGTTAACGAGAATGATGCTGGAGAGTATAGGTAAATTAAAAAATATTAATCAAAAGTTTTATGAAATCGCTCAATTAAATTTATAAATTTTTAACATAGATGTGTGGGAAAAAACCATCTATTGAACAAAACAAAATACAGTGAAATTGGTCATTTGACCGTCAACAAGATAAACACTAAAGGATATTCTGGATCACAATCTAATATCCAAAAATTAGCATTCATTCCTCCAAATGTCTTGAACCTGAATGTTAAGTATGTGACTGAAGGTGAAAATGTGACATTTGAATGTGCTGCTTCTGGTGTTCCGGCTCCTCAGTTATACTGGTCATTTATAAACTCTACAGGTGAACTAAAAAAAAAAAAAACAATTTCATCAAATATGTATTATTACAATTTTGGCTATTATGTTTAGGACACCAACACAATACTATGCTTAGTGATGAAGGAACTTCTGTCAATATATTAAGTTTGACTAAAGTAAGTTCTAAGGATTCAGGAACATATACATGTCATGCATTACAATCTGTAACAGGATGGCCAGATTTGCCACATTCTCAAGTAATATATTTTATATTTAATAGCTTTTTGAATTTATTTAATATTTACATAGGTGAATTATTATGTGTTTGCTCCTTATTTGTTTTATAGTATTTTCGATTAGAAGTTATGACACCTCCTTACATCAGTATTCCACCAGAAACACAAACTATGCCTATTGCAAATACTATTCGCTTTAGGTGTGTGGCTGAAGGTAATCCCACTCCTAACATAACATGGTATCACAATGGTCAACGTTTGAAGTTAAATGGTAAGTAAATAAAGATTTGATAGTAAATTGGCTCAGTCAATAAATTGTTTTATTTTACATCAGGTCGTATAAAGGCCAAGAGCAAACAACTTTTATTAGTTAGTAATACAGTATCAAATGACTCTGGTTTCTATCAATGTTTTGCCTCTAACCAATATGGGACTGTATGGGCAGGAGCAATGCTTAATATTAGCTCATCCCCGTTTGAACCAGCACCGCCTATTAATATCAGCTGCCGTACATTATCTCCTACTCAAATTCAAGTATCTTGGCGAAAGTCCCCTACTGATATCCCTGATGATCCACCTATCCTTATTCGCGATGATTCTACACAACTTGGTTCTTCTCACGGTGGTGTGCTATCATCATCATCTGATACTGTGTCTACAGATATTGCAAATAAAGTATCCAGGGCATATTCTATACATTACATGCCTACAGGTATTTTATTTTATTTTAATTTTTTAAATATTTCTGTAAATACAGAATATAATCTTTTTTTAAATTGCAGATGGTGGAGAAGAAACTCAACAAGTTAGTGTAAACCATTCTATTATTGTAGAAAAATTGAAACCATACAAAAACTACACTTTTTATGTACGAGTCTACAATGGCAAATCTGGATCTGATCAATCTGAAAAAGTTACTTGTAAAACTCAAGATGGAGGTTTGTATATTTATTGTAACAATCTTAATATTTGAACATTTTAAACTCATTTAATTAAAAATGTATTTGTTTTTTATAGCACCACAAACAGTTCCAGAATTAACAGTTACTCCTCTTAGCCCAATATCATTACATGTAGAATGGGCTGCAATTAACATAAATTTGGTTAGTGGGGCTGTTACTCATTATCAAGTTATGTGGAAACGATTACATAGTTCTTCTAATTACATACATTTGTTGTACAATGATGCCAGACAATACACAATAACAGGTAATTCATGATTTTTATCAATTAATATTAAAGATACACATTTTTCTAGAAACAAATGAGTAGTAGATAATGTTTATACTGAATTCAAATTTACTTTTTTTTTTTTTTTTATAAATTTATTAAGGCTTCAACATCAAAGGTCTTTAGCCTGCATGAAATTAATATAAATAAGTGAACATTATAATTATTACAAGTATTTACATGTGTTTACAATTTATGACTTATGTTTATACTTTACTTTATTTTACCACACCTTATTTTACTTAAACTCCTCACTACGACAGTTCTATGATTCAACTCAGAGTAGAATTATTGATTATGTTTATAGTGTGTGTAGAGATACAGATCCAATCCAATATTTATGCACTAAAGTAGCAAGCTCTCATAAAATCAACAAAAAGCATCATGTGTTGGATTCTCTTCCTTAAAACTAACTGTTCTGGGTTGGTGGGGCTAAATTTACATCCACCTGCACTAGGTCCTGTGGAAGGGGAAGGAGTCTGCTGACCTAAAAGTTTAGGGCGTTTCCCACGTTTACATATATTTAGAATTATACACTATGCTAAAATTACAATGAATTAATGAAAAAAAGGTATCACATTACTGTTATCAGTTACTGCATATTTATTTTCTACCTTTCATTGTTAGAATTCAGCTCAATGAACACCATTTTATTTGGTATGACTACTATGACTATAAAATAAAATGATTAATGAATGAATGTAAATTAAATATACAGTGGTCGCGGCTTATTATTATCACAATTAATGTTATCAATCATGTATTATTATCAAAAAGTGTAAGTACGAGCTGTACTACTACTTTTTTTTAAATATTTTGTTTACTATTATCGGTTGCTTTATATTATTCATTTTGTCCAATACCAAAGTGATGACTTTAAGCGGCGATCACTGTAAAATTATTAAATATGTATTATTTATGCCTACAGGAAGCAATGCATGTTAAAATGTGTAAATAATAAATATGATGTAAACAATATACAAAATAATATAAATAATTCTGTTTCTTAATATATAATTTTTTATACACAATGACATTTTCAATTTTTTTTTACTTTGAAGTAGAATGTTCAAAATGTTGTAATCAACTTTTAACAAATTTTAATTTATGATTTTATTTTCGCGTTGAATGAAGAAATTGGATGCATGAGCTGAACAATATCCCTATATTTTCAATTCTAGTACTACTACTCAAAAGCATATTTTACGTCAAATTTTTGTAATTGTAAACACCTTTTAAAAATAGCTTATACAAATTTACTCTTAATTGTTGGAACTAGAATACTTTTATAACTTTTAAAACTACTGAAATCATCTCTTATGAAAAATGAAGTTGCTTTTAATTAAGTCTATCATTAACCAAGTGTTAAAAAAAGTAGTATATATTTTTGTTTTTTACATTATAAATATACTTTTTATGTATAATTTTATTTTTTATTTTGGTTTTTAGGACTCAAACCAGGAGAACAATATGAAGTGCAAGTATTAGGTGCAACACAAAATGGTTTACCCAACATTGATTTTTCATGGCATTTAGTTGAGTTACCCAATATTAATCCTATCTTGCCTATACCTATTTTAAGATTTAGCATTGACCAATCAATTATAAAGGTATGTTGTATTTTAATGTTTAAAAAATACCTAATTGTAATATTTTTGCATTATTCTTTGATGATTAATTTCGATTAATTTTGAAGAAATGAGAAAACATTTAAAAACAATTTATTCATCTGTTGCTTATTAAATATTATTTACAGCTTTTTTGGTTTGTCAATGATCAATCAATTAAATTTGACTCGTATAAACTAATGTATCGAATTACAAGCCAAACAAACCAATCAGTGATGTCACTGCACACACTCAGACCAGACACAAACAATCATATGATACATTATACAAGTAAGTGATTTTTTGTTAAGAGGATGTTGATCCACTATTTGTTTTCTTTCTTCTTCTGACCCACGCACACACATCAAAATTGAGTTCAGTAGAATCTCGTATTGTTACTTATTAGCTTAAATATTAGAATTAATTGACACATTATAATACTAAATTAAGAGTATTATCATACAAGTGTTATTATAGGCTTTCATTTATATTTTAGTTTACAGAATTTGTATTTTATTATTTTAATGTAAACATATTTTGTATACAGTGTGTAATTATTAACTGACTAATGTAATAACATTTGTTATTATCAATACTTAACATTTTTTTGTATATAGATAATTTATAAAGTATTTACTATTTTGCTTCATTTTTATTTCTTGGAAAATTTCAAAATAGTCTATTTGTAAATCTGATTATAAAGAAAATTTTGATGGTAAAAGCATTCAAATTGAGAAGTTTATTTACTAAAATTTTTAAAAATTTTAAAATATTAATATTTTGTGATGTAGATTAATTTAAAACGTAATAACAACAATATAACATTTATCCTGCGGCAAGCAAATCTGTTTTATATTGTGTGTGCGTGAGAGTTTGAAAACAAAAAGTGTGCCACTCACAAATTAAGGGTGTTACCTTCTAAAACATAATTCATTTTTGAATTGTCAATAATTTTGGTTTTTTAGGTGATTTGGATATTTATGAAGTATTGTTAAATTGTATATCCGAAAGTGGTGAAGGAGAATCAATATCTAAAACTATAGCAGTAGCATCGGATATATTGTCACCGCCATCTCAGATCGAAGCTGTTGCTACGTCACTCCAGACGTTGAATTTGTCATGGGTTCCTTCAGATTCTGTTGATCCATTGTCTTTGATGTTTATTATTACCTATAATCCAGTATCTAATTTTTCTCAGAATTCCACTACTGTTTTCACTGATATGTAAGTAAAAAATGTTTTGTTTTTAATTTTCTGGAACATAATATTATTTTTTATTTTTTGTATTTTAGGGGTGTATATTCATTTGAATTATCAGGGCTTAAACCGTATAGTTTATATGAAATCAAGATAGCAGTTCAAGATCAAAATAACAGAAAAAGCGAATTTAGTCAAAAGATACAGATACGCACACTTCAAGGAGGTATAACAAATAAAAATGCGCCGATCTATTATTATATTTCTATACTTCTAAAATTAATTATTTTTTACTTTCCAGTTCCTGGTATAGTAGAGCAAATAGAATTACAATGGATAAATACTAGTACTGTTCGCATAACTTGGGTAGAGCCAACAAAGTCAAATGGTGTGATTATGGGTTATTATGTTTCATATACGTCTGAACTTCACATACCACCTACATCCTGGGAACAACTAAATATCTCTCGTCATAAAAATTCATTGGATGTATGTATTTAATGTTTGAACTTAGTTTTTTATATATAATTCTTATTATTGTCTTTAATATTATGTAATAGTTGTATGGCTTAAGCAATAACACTGAATACTTCTTTATGGTACGTGCTGCTACTGATGCTGGATTTGGTCCACAAAGTGGAATATTTTCCATTACTCCATTAACTACACTAATTAACCCACCAGTTAATTCAAAATACCCCGCTGATTCACCAGCGTTGTATATGGAAGATCAGCAGCTATTAGGTATAGTCATCGGTTGTGTGATTGGAGTTTGTTGCATACTAATATGTACTACAAGTATTGTATTGAAACGTCAATGTGTGAAAGCTGAACGAGTACGAGATACCCATCAAAACTCAATAGGTACTGATGTGGCATTCTGTGCCCAACATCTACGACCATTTACTATTGATCATGATCAACATGAAGAGAGTGTTCCTTTAAATGATGTAAATTACATTACTCGGCACATTGACGGAAGAAGTCGATATTCAAATAACATGTCTGGTATGGCATTGCCACTTCTTGACCAAAGTAATCCAAGAGATCATGATATAACAAATGTCCACATCATTGAAAACCCGCAGGTAAGTTTTTTACTTTGTAGCATTACAATTATTGTAAATAATAATTTTAATAATACTTGACAATGATTCTATTGCTTAAAACTATCATAATACCTATTCAGAAATTAATATTTTTATATTATGTTTATATTTTAGTGTACTGTTGATGTTGATGGTTATGATGTGGACAGTCTATTAAGCGAATCAGCTGAAGGTGGTGCGGGTACTGAAGAGTCTGGTTGCAGTGATCAACTGGCTAAGAGCCATAAAGGTGGTGGTGATTCCAGTGTGGTTGATGATGGATTTCACGAACATGTTGTAAGCTAATCAGAATGTTCGTTGGTTGGTGTATAGGTAATGGTATAAATGATGTGCCAAAGAATATTAATATTTTTTATGTATTCACTGAAATTCACTAAATTTGATATTATTTTTTTATACTTAAATGATGCATATTTTAACAAACATCACCATAAATAAAAAAAATCTGGTTTTTACTGACATCACATTACGCCTGTTATATCAATAACATAAATTATGTTGGATTCAACCTGAAAAGTTTATATAAGCTACATTAATTATTTAAACATTTTTATTATTATTTTTTTTTTTATATTGGGAATGACTATGTATGACTACTCAAAACAATTGTTTTGTGTCTTCTTCTTATATTATTATTATTTAGTTCGCTATTATGTTTAACTTTTGATGTGTAATTTTAGATTGATTTTTTGAAATTTTAATCCCTTAAATTTGATGTAATGTATTTTATAAAATACCGCCTGCAGCTCTTACCACTTTAAAATTATTTTTTTCTTTAAGAATCACAAAAAAGTGAGATACTTACGTACATTATTAAAATATTGTTAATATAGTTGGTAAGTGTTTTCCTGAATATTAAATCTATTTTTATTTTTTTTTAGAGTATTTAGTTATTAGGTTTCACTGAACCTCACAAATATAGTACAAATAATATATATTTTTAATGTTTATTATATTTTGAGTTCTATCAATGATTTTGGTATCAAATAATTATTACTATTCTTGCATATTTTTCTGTTAAATTTTTCTGCATAATTTAAGCTATTCATACACACTGAGTTCATCACTTTAATTACAAGCCAATAGCTTGCCAAACACTTTGATTACATTAATGTTTACTAGTATATTTTAGAATATAAAGCGGAACATTGTTCATAATAATAATAATAATAATAATGTTATTACTATAATCATAAATTATAAAAGTTAAGTGAACAAAATTAATTTCTTACATTACAAAAGTTAAACGTAATTTAGCAGTTTTGCTGGTATATTTTATATTATAATTAATGTTTAATTTTTTTTGGTTTAATTGTTTATGTATATATATATTATATATGTAGTTCCTATTCCCCTAAATACTTTAAATTTTGAACAAGAGAAATACTTATAATGGAACGTTTTCTTTAGAGATGTAATAAGGGATCTCAAATGGCGCTTACAATTGAAAAAGTTCTTTTATGTATTGTATTAACCTTACACATACAAGTCAATTACATTATCATAGATATTCATTCCTTTAACACATTCCAAACAGGTTGTGATTAATTTTTCTTGTTTTATATATATATAAATATATGTATGTATGCATAACAATATTACATGTGTATATATATATATTATATTTATTTCAATCTCTGATAATATTTTTACAACCTTTATGTACTTAGTGTATATTTTATACATACTTTTTATTATTATTATTATTATTAGTTTTTTTTTTTGTTACTTTTAAAGAATTAGGTACAAAATATTTTTTTAAGTTACAATGCTTAAGTTTTTATTTATTTATTTCATTGTTAAGTTTATACTTGCCAACATTTTCATTCAAAAAAGCAATTATGAAATAAGCAGTTTTTTTCATTTCTACTTATTAAATTTATATTACTATGAGTGAACTGAAGAGGTGATCATGAAACTACCTTCTATTGTTTCCATTACAACGATGGTTATAATTTTGTAAAATATAATGATACTTCACAAGTACCTGATAATTTTATTAAAAATGTAATATAACTCATACTTATATACGTTTGTAAATTGTGTTTAATCTTTATGAGAGATCTATTCACAATAAAAAAAATCAATAATAATAATAATACACTTTTATGCTAATTTATTTGTAAACATTTTAAAAATAAGCCAAGGTATTTGTATATTTTTGATTATTATTGTTAATTATCATAGGTAGTCAATAATAAATGGCTATAATAGCATAGCTGTGTTTAAATGTGTACAAGCTGAACTCAATTTTTTTATAATTTCAGTGAAATATGTAATGGCCTATTTTGGTGCTCTTTAACAAACCTGGAATTTAAAAAATAAAATCAATATAAATGTATATTCTTTTGGTACTTTTGGCCAATTTTATTTCTATACAAACAACAATTTGTCAGAATATTTTATTATTATATAAATATATTGCGATGTTTAAAGCATTTTAAATTTAAGTTTATGTTTGTTTAAAAAAAATATATATATATACCAATAGACGTATTATATTCTTGTTCGAACAAAATTTTTTTTATTAAATCTTGGTACATTTTAAACGTATTTTTATATGGTAGCTATTAGGGAAGTTAAACATTTTCAGGGCCTTTTTTATGTAGCTCGTCAAAAGTATACTGTTTTGAATTTATGGTAACTAGTTCTAAGTGTATGGAAAAGCTCATATTTTAAGGTGCTTCAATTTAAAATTATAATAACTTTTTTGTATAATATAGTGTTCATACAAAAATATATTTATATAAGTATCATATTATATACATGTGAAGACTGCCACAATTAAAGAAAATCTGATTGGAATATTATTTTGTACAATAGTCAACATAGGTATATTATATTATACTTGCTCCACATTTTTCAACTCTAATTGATCTGTTTTGTATGAGAAAAAATAGTACAAATTTTTTTTCAATGTCTGTTAAAAAATATAATTTTGATGTATATTGATATAATTTTTTTTTTGCTAAGAATAAAATCTGTTGTAAAATTTTTCAGCTTTGTTATTTTGTAATTATTTGTTATCGCGTTTAAATAAACTAAATATTTTTATGTGAGTTTGGTTTCTGCAACACTTTTCACCCTGAAGCAATAATGCTGTCAAATTTTTTTGTAAGAATCTAACGCGTATGTTATCTTTTTTTTAATACTTATTGTAATATGTATATTATATTTTCAATATTCTACCAATCCCATTATTTAATACATTGTAGTATTTGGATAAGAGTTTTATACTTGTGTTTCTTGATTGCAGTTACTCGTTAGATACATAAAATAACTATCTATACTCTATAGGTACCTCATTAGATTAGTAAGTCGTTGCAGTTTAATTTGTTTTATTATTATTATTATTATTGTTTGATGTTAATTGTACCTATTTGTATTGAGTTTATATGTTCTTGTGTGTTGTACAAATTGTACATCGTTTATATTTTGACTAAAATTAAAATTATATAAATTTAAAAAAAAAGTTGTTGTGAATTTCCATATAATTTTTAGTCCCTGTCCCATTTTTTCCCCTGTGGTATCTAGAACCGGAGTAGGAATTTCTGTTATTATTACTTCTCCTCCAAATCCCTTAGCAAATTTACTCTCAGCAATCACAGCGAATCGACCAATTTATAATGAAACTTGATATTAAGAACATTATCTATGTTTGTGTGTGGGTTTTTACGATTGTCCAATTTTGTTACAAGTCATTCGTTTAAAATAAAACGTAAATTAAAAATTCTCATTACCCTCATAAAAACTCAGATAATGTTCTTAACATTAAGTTTCATAATAATTGGTCAATTTACTTAAATTTTTAAACTAACAGAGTTAAACGTGATCTTCTAAGCGCAAATTTTCCATGTTATGCACTTGTATGACGGAGACAGTAAATATGTGTGTAGTGTTCTCTTAAAGACTAAAAATATTTGAGGTACCTATAAACATTTATATTATTTTTATTTTATCAAAAAAGTTCTCAAATCATTTCCATCTCTCAATATCTGTCAAATACGAAAAAACAAAAGCAACATATAAAAATATTAAATATTTATAAACTAATATTGATTACAATACATTTAACATCATCATAAACATTCATATTTTCACAATCTGTCACCATGGACTTATTCTTGGCCCTTAGATTAATTGGGAACTGAATATATTGTTTCCCCCGATTCTGTATCAACTATACTATCTATCATTACAATTTTATGACGTATACATCTTTTAAATTGTAAACTATGAAGTGTTGGTTTGTTAGGTAACGTATAATAGTATTTTGAACTATCTATATATTTCATTCTAAATAAAATATTTACCTGCTAATTAAATTCTAAATTTGCTGTAAATCTACTTATATCGTTGTATAGTATAAATATAACTAATGATAGGCAAGGGTAATCTAATTTATAAATCTATTGTCCCTATTACAAAAAATTAACATTATGGCTTGAAATTAATTATTTTATCAAAAACAATTTTTTAACTTAAGACTACGGATTCGATAGACACATATTATACTTCGAATAGTAGCTGGAGGAGTCAATATTTAGTATAATATATTATCTATACATATTTTCAGATGTTTCAGACGAGTTGATAAATTTCCTTCAGCAACTACCTATACTAGCTCGAATTTCGATCATAGTTTTAAAAAAAGATCTGACTAATTTGTCATGGTAAAAAATTAGGTACCTAACTAGCAGTGGCGTAGCCAGGGGGGCCCAGGGGTCATGCCCCCCATGGGCTGTATCATATAATATCACATAATATATAAAAAATAATCGTAAATTTATTAATTTTGGCTATGTACCGGTTAAGATTAAATAAAATAAAGTATTTTTTATTTTGTCAATAACCATAAAAATTATAATTATTGGTAAAATTAAATTACATAAAATAACTATGATTATGGCTATAAATTACGACTATAGCCGTGCTATAAATAAACAGGCATGTTTTCTCTTTTCTTGAAAATATTGCTGATCTTTTATCAACTATGCTTATCACTATAATATTTATTAACAATATTTGTACCCATAAAAATGTATTAAAATTAAAATACAAATTGTTTAATGTTTAGACTCTATACCATTGTAGCTGAAATGAGTATTATGGGCCCTACACAACTTTATACAAGTCGCAGGGTGTGCCCTGGTACACCAGGCAAACCCTGTAGATTCCCTTATGACATTGGTATTTCCGTCAAATACCTAGGCTATGATTAAGTAAACAAAAACATGTTTTGAATCCAACAGAGAAAGCTATAGATCCTAGATTTAAATAACGATGGACGGGGAGTTACCCAAATATTTTGTATCATCATGATGATAGTAACTGATTTTTTTTCCGTGCAGTTACTCATCTATAATTGGTATTTTATTATGATTTACGATTTTTTAAATTTTTTTTCATACAGTTACCATATAAAAAGTGTCTATATAAATGTATTTATTTATTCAGATTAAACGGGCTGAGCCCATTTTTTAAATTGCAGTAGGGTAGGTACTTAACTACTCATTTACAACGACATAATAGTATATTGTATTATTATATAGTAATACAATAGTGCCTCTATTTTATATTAGTATGTGCTATATGCAGTGTCAGTTTTTGATTTAATTCAAAAGGTGAAAACTGAAGGAAGGCGTCTTACTTAGGTTTTTTTTCGTAGGTAAATCTAGAGAAGAGAGCGAAAAACACGTCACACCCATACTTAAAAGGAAGGCATTTCACTTATGTCTATACATCGAAAATTCTGAAATATGCCTCTTTCATAATTTTTTGAAAACTTTCGGTGCAAATGCGATAAGTTTTCTGGGCGGGGATGAAAATGCTCAAGTTTTTTGGATTGCAGTTCGACGATCGCGATAGGTATCTTGTGTAACCACCTTATATATAGTGTTGGATGGATTTGAGGATTTGAATTTATTCATAAGTCCATTTTTCAGCCAACCTTATACCTATAACCAGATACCCTAGTAGCTATGTACACTAATGTCAACATAATATTATTATATAATATTTATATATAATGACGACGTGACATGTCATATACTTACCTACTTTGATGGTGCTCGCGAGCGCATAAAATAATAATACCTAACATTGTGCCGCGGCCTTTTTTTTTCCCCATAAAAGTACAACGGGACGGTTTTAGTTGCAACATGATATTGGCGAATGGCGGCGAATGCTTTCGAAAATAAAACGTCTATAAATAGAACCGAAATCGTGGAGGGGTGGCTGCAACGGCCGAGCAGCGGGTCAGCAGCTAAGGTGCATTTCAGTCGATATTCGTTCGCATCGCTTTCCGAAGAGACACGTGCGAACCGTACACAGTCCATTCACGATCCGAACGCGCACTCACTCATCAAAATGGTGAGTACATATTATTATCTACGACTTGTTTAATATATTTTTATTGCTAATTTATTACTATATCCTATACGTAAATCGTCCACGGAAGACTCGAACTGTGATCCGGGCATGGCGTTTTTTGTCCGGTGTAATCGATGGTGTCGGTTTGATTATCGGCGTAGGCAAAAAAAATGGGATTCACTTAAAGAGAAAAAAATCGAAACTGTTACGAGGAAAAAATACATCTTTTGTTAATCCAATCCATTATTGTTTCACACTGAAAACAGTGAAGATTATCATTTAAATGCAGACGGGATTTTTTTTTAAAATTATTATAATATTTTAAAACTATATTTACGTTTTTTCAGCCTTTGCTTTATAGTTTGTACAAGTTCCAAATTTCTTTTCTTTCAATCGAAATCGAAAACATTTTATTAGAAAGTATAATCGTTATTAATTTAATTAGAAATATTTAATCGTTTTTTGATTTAAAACTAAATAGTTATAATTAAAAAAAAATCAAACCTGTGAGGACTACAATACTACAAAATGTGAACACCAATATGTTTAGGGCGAATATAGACCGTTCCAGAATATTATCCTATTGAGTAATTTCAGGTGTATAAGTATTAAAGTATGGACCATATTTAGGCGGTTTTCTAAAAATTGTATTTATTATGAATCGACAACGCTTATAAGATGAACGTTTAAAATATTTCTTCGTATAAGGTATAACCTAACCTATATAAGATAAACTTTTTCCAAAAAATTTCTATGGGTATATCTTATTAACACCGATTTGAAAACATGCCTTTTTGCACAGTAATCGCTTTAACAGTTTTTTGTTGTTTTTTTTCATTTCAGGAATTGTCCAAAGAAGATATTGAACGTAAGTACATACAAAAATAATAGCAATCACAAATTAATACGCAATAATAATGTAGCACAGGTTGACACATAATAAGAATAGGGGTGATTTATTCCCGTCCGTCAATTGATTAACGATTATTCGACATTTTAGGCGTGAACTTCGTCTGGGGCATCTACGACAGCACCAACGAAGGTGTCGATGCTTTCTACTTGGGAGATTTGCTCCGCGCTTTGGAAATGAACCCAACATTGGCCACCATCGAAAAATTGGGTGGAACCAAAAAGAAGGGTGAGTTTAGAAAGGTTTATATTAATTTTTGTACATAATTATATTGTACTAATTACGTGTGGTTGTGCGTTTTGCGCGAAAAGGCGAAAAGAAATTGATGGTGGACGAGTTCTACCCGATATTCGCTCAAGTGATCAAAGACAAGGACCAAGGAGTGTACGAAGATTTCATTGAGTGCCTGAAACTGTACGACAAAGCCGAAGACGGTCACATGATCGGCGGTGAACTGACACACATCCTCCTCTCCTTGGGTAAGGCTGTATGATAACATTACGCCCGGCCAATAATGACCCCCTGACCGCAGGCGGCTGATGTCCTATTTTTATTTTTATGTCTGATTCACGTTCACAGGAGAGAAATTGACCGACGCGGAACTCGACGAAGTCGTCAAGGACTGCATGGACCCCGAAGACGAGGACGGTATGATCCCTTATGTCCGTGAGTATTCGATATTATTATATTTTATATATTATGCGTATACCTATTAAATATTATGAATAATAATTGAATTATACCATGTACACCCAAATCGCGTTTCCAGTACGGTGTCGGACGAAAGTTTGTACACCCACTGGCGACGTTCGCACATACACCAATATACTATTCTTATACCTACCTACATGTACCTACCTACCTGCGCCAAAATAAAAACCACCTTGATCGAATGTTTTTCAGCGTTCGTAAAAAAAGTGATGGTTCGCCTGAGCGACATGAAATAAATTCCATTTTAAGCGTTTAACGTTAAAACAGAAAAAAACAAAACAAAAAAAAAAACAATTAAAAATTTTTAATTACCCGGACCATTTATTCGTAAGTGTAAAGAAACCGTTTTGAAACGATACGCTTTTGTGACGTCATTGCGTGCTTATCTGTTCAACGCACATATCGTGCCACTTCCGTAATAGTTGTATTGTCTATAATTTAGTCGTTAAATTTCGTCGTCGGTTTCGAGCCGATTGCTCGGATATTATTTTCGACACAGGATACACATATCGACGCAATATATCTCTAAACGCTTTGACAAAATAATTATTATACGAGATACTACTCTCTGCCTACACTGCTGCATCCGTAGGAGCTTTATTGGCTTTTTTTTTGTTTTGTCCCATCGATCGGTGGTGTGTAAAGATGATAATATTTTATCGGTGTGCGACTTCTCGCGGGCCTCAGAAGAGCGGAGCCGCACAGTTCTCGAAGAAGAAAAAAAATCATATCATAATCTATTTTGCCATAATATAACAGCTTGGGATGATTATGACGATGATGTAATATAAACGCTTTTATTTTTAAACCACCGTCCGTCGTAAATTGTTACGACGAATGGTGCGTTATATAATACCGCCATAGATATTATATAGTGTGAACTGCAGCCATCGCCGTTACTAGTACTGACCGGACAGCGACTCTATAAATATAAATAATTTTTTTTTCTCACACATTTTGCGATCGCCGCTGTCCGCCCGCTTTTGCTTGGTTTTTTTTTTTTTTTATCTTTACCACAGCGTTCAATTGCCCGCGACGCGCTGGTCTATTTTTAGATGAAACCGTATTTTAAACTTGGCGATGTCTGTATTTTTCCGTTTCAGCGTTTCTGGCCAAAGTTTGCGGAAAGCCCGTACCGGCCGACGACAACCCGTTCAACAAGTAAAACTATAAAACTACACGCGCATCGCTCCGACATAAGCAAATACACGTTATTATTTATTTATTATTATTAATATAATTATTATTATTATTATATTATTATTATTATAATTATTATTGTTGTTTTTTTTGTTTTCTGCACCCAAGCTCGTCCGTTCGTTGTTCGATCGTTGTTCGATCATTGTTTATTATTTGTATTGTTACAAACATTATTACGATGTTTTTGTAAAAAAATAATTCGTTATATTTTCATTTAAATATATCATACCGACAACAAATGATAATGGTAATAATAAAAATAAAAAATAAAACATAAAATAATAATAACGCATTGGAAATCTCATATTTTGATACATCCAACTCGTGTCATGATGGAGCTCGTGTTCGTTTTTGATTTGTATTTATGTAACCGTATTTTTTTATTTTCATATTTTACCCAACTGGCATATAATAGTTGCAATGGTGCCAGTGACGGATTTAGTTTTAGAATCGCGGCCGGCCAAACACTATAGGTTACGCACATCAGACCTGACGCTGTGCCAATTTTGAAACATCGGTATAACAAATGCTTAGGTTTCTCTCGTAACACGGCGCTTCGTTTATGCAATTCTTAGACATCAGTGTTTTGCACACGCACCGACAAAAGCGTAAGACGCAGTCACGCTATACAGACATAATGATACGTACAATTATATTTATTATTATTACAAAATTATCCTAACCAGGATTTACATGAAGTATAAAATAGTCCCTAAGATATGAATTTAATTTTTTTAGAATACGCTAAAATATGCAATAAAAAAAAAAGTAACAAAACAACTATAAAGTTATCAATAATATTTTCAAATCAACATGACGTAATGTAGATAAACATTGTAAAATTTAAAAACAGATCGAATAAAGTAATTTTTTATACAATCTAATAATTTAAGTTGGTCTTGATATTAATTAATTTCATAGGAGTTTTAATACATTTTATCATATTTTAGTCAAAACTATAAAATCACTGATTTCATGAAATACAAATTAGGTGCGTAATATGACCTGTCAAATACTCATATCTAGTCTTTAAAAMTATAACACTACTGTTTTTACAAAACACAATAATATTATACTTAAATTATAAAATTTAAAATTTAAAATACAAAAAAACGTGTACAATTGTATCAATGTTAGGCAATTTGTGGATATTACTAATAAAATTAATAGTAGTTTGTTACAAACTAAACATAAACATGAATATAATCGTCTAGTTTTACATATGGTACTTTTTTTTTTTAAATCTGAATATTGAATTTTTCAATACAAAATTCTCATTTTATTGATATGAGAGGTGGATATAATTTGTGAAAATATCGAATTATGATTCAGAATGATATATTATTTTTATAATTACAAATAAATATAATTATAAAATAATGGGTTGCTTATCATACTAAATATATTTAAAATAAGGTGAATAAAAGTGTGATTTTTGCTCTAGTTAGAGTGTAGCGTTTCTCTAAGTTTTAATTAGCAAGCTATATTAGTTAAATATTTAATAATGTCTTCGTGCTGGAATCAGTCATATTTTATAGATTAGTATTAAATCACTGCATTGTTTTTTTTTTCCATATAGTGTACTTAGTATAATAAAGTTCCTTAAGAGTTATTTTTCAAGTGAAATTGGCCACTAGACAACTTTGATGTATAAGTGGACCACAAGCTATGCATCATTGCTGTAGAGTAAAAAATAAATTTTTCATTGTTCAACATTTAAATCTCAGTGTCATTGGCAAGCTTAAAATTCAAATATTAATTTACTAACTGACACAAAAATAAATTCAAAACAATTCAGAAGTATATTCATCTTAATCAACAATATCATATTGCAATAATTTGGCTATTTTTACGGCTGAAATAATATTATGAAGTCCGTGCGTGGATTTCTTAATAATAATTGAACGTTTCGATTGATTGGTCGAATACTATTACATATAAATACAAATGACACGATGATTGTTGACATAATAATTTTTTAACAATACATGTTAATACGAGGTTACGGTAACCGTATTCAACGCGTTTGTTACTGTGCTGAATATCTACATATATTAACATATTATACGTAGGTAAAATCTATTGTAAAATTAATAACTATACAAACGGTCAATATGTATAGCTACTATACAACAATATTATGCTTACCAACTAGCCACAGTCTAAGTAAGTAGACAATACTACAATAGATTTATTCTCATATTATTTATGTTTCGACGAACGCATAGAAAAAAATAGTTTAAGTACTGCACTTATATGGTTGTGTTTTTTGTACAATTTAAGTAACACAGTGACGAGTATTATATTGTCGTGAAAATATCGTGATGTCAGCTTTGCACACGATTTACATCCAAAAATGTTTATTCTCCAGGGCGTGCAAATAAATAGCTAAATATTATATTGAATAGCTCATTATCTATTTTTGCTGTCAAATACTTTTTCAATAGATAATTGATATAATACTAAGCAACCTTTATGATATTTTTCGATCAACATGTTTATATGAAACTCAGTTATTCAACGTTTGAAATCAATGTAAAGACAACGATAAAAATAAAAATTGAAATATAAATAAAAATAGGAAAACGATGTACAATATAAATATTGTCCATATATACAAATGACAACTATCTGATATATAAGAAAGTACGTTTTTAAATATTAATATTGGTTTCAGAGGAATAAGAGAATATAATATAAATTTTTAATTATTTTTATTTTATTATTATTTATCAATTAATTATTACAAAATACATTTAGGTACCAGGCGCGTCGAATCTTTAAATAAAATCTAACAAGAAAAAAAAATTAGATAATTGAAGAAATTATTGTACTCAAACATATCCAGAGCACAGTGTATAGAATGTATAGATACATAAACGTTTCCAATATATGAGGTACATGGAGTGGGTGTAATATTAATATAAATACCTACATTATATTTTATACAAACATTTTCACGTATTTAAATATAATTAAAAAAATTCAAACGAGGAATTTTAATCGCTCCTTATGTGTACATTGACTACAGTATATAACCATAACAATTTTATGACTAGAATATTAGATACAAATTTATAATTATCATTTAATGATTGATCCAATACATTTTAGTGGACCATTTAATTATAATATTTTTATCGGTATCACAGTATTAAAAGAATTCAGTTTTTAATGTGATTTGCATACATAATAAGTAGGTACGCATGTCCATTTATTATTGGGTTTTCTTAAGTTTATTTTATCTATATAGCATACAAAGCAACCGTTAACAAAAAGTACAGTAATAATTATGAAAGTTTTGCTTGAAATGGGTTTTATACCTACTATAATATAATATGCAGGTCAACAACGCTATCAGTATATTAGTTTTGTAATCTATTTATTGTGATTTATTAACTAGCAAAAATAAATGCATATTAAAATAACGATATTCATACCGCTGCAGTAAATCGCGTTTAATATTGCGCGTGTGATGCGATCGTAAAGCAGCGTAGCAACAGTTGCGATTTGATAACATAAATAACAATATATGTAGTGACCGTGTGACTTATATATTATACGGTCGTAACTTCGCGGTCGACACGCGTGTGATTCTTAATCGCATTCATCATAATGGACGCGTATTATATATTATGGTTACCCATGTTTGCCTTGCCTCGCGTTTAACATATTACTCCACCTTCATTATTCTATATATGTATATATATATATATATATACATATATATAACAGGGGTAGGCAAGTGATTTCCGTTAGAGTCCGGAAGATTAAAATAATTAAAAGGTAAACGAGGTTCAGAGAAAAAAAATTGTCGCCAAATCTTTATATCTCTATGACTCTATAATAGTAATATGAAATCGAACAGATTTTAAGATAATAATAATATGTTGACGGTCCAGTTATCTGCATTTCAGGGCCGGCCAGTGGCCAACCGTTGTTATATAATATACCTGCGATGTGTACGCTCAAGATATTTTGTCGCTTTTCCCACAGCGTTTATATTGTATCATAAATACTGCTAAAAAATCTGTAGGTATACTAAATTAAAATTTGTTCATTGATTTTTTGGAATATATGTTACTGTCTCCGTTTTAAGAACTAGGGCGCTACTCATTTATAATATACATATATATGTATAAAAAAAACCAAAATTACGAAGGTAAAACTTTTAACGTTTTGAATCGAAACATACATTATTGCTCAATCGAATGTGATATTTTTTTGACGACTGAACGCTTATCGCACGAGGATCTGCAACATCGTTTGGTTCTCAACTTTTTTTTAACTTACGATAACCTAAAGTAATTTCTATAATCTGGAGATACCCTATAATCTATGTTATTATATTAAACATACAGGTTATATTTTTTATAAATTTTTTTTTAACATTTTTAAATATAATATAGATGATTGCTTTACACTAGAAATAATTTCACGACACCCTAAGCCCTAAGGTGACTGCGTGGTCTACAATTACATACTACCAACATTTACCTCTGCAGGCGACTACTTTTAACCTAGAGGGCTATTATAATATAGTGTTGTGGACTGATTTTGTATAGGAAAGAAAAAAACTTCCATGAAAAATTAAATTTATTTTACACTAGGCACCCACAATTAGGCCGCAAAACTTGAAAAAAGTATATTTTTTTTTCTTTTAGTTAAAAATTTGTATCAAAGCCAATCGATTTTTACAAATTAATTTAAAGAACGAGAACTGGTTGAAGTTAAGATACCCGTATAATGAATATAATATATTGTATAATATCGGTGGCTTTAGTGGAACATTTCGTGCGGATGCGAACACACACAATAACATGATTCAACATATCACGAGTATCCGTAAGCCTATAATATACGTTTATGACATATCATTATAGTTTTAAGCTGTAGCATATCATGCAGATTATGATGGACTGCAGATTGCGTAAACATTTTTCATCTCGTCCATTTCTTATCATTTTGAAAAATAAAAACATATATATATATAATCTATGCACCCATCTACCGAGTACTCACTTCCCCCTTACTCGCCATCACGAGCCGGAGAGGCGCGGGTGGCTCGCGGACTC